CCACGGTGTTCTGTGCTGCGAGAGTCTGTGCCTTGGCTCCGTAGCTGATCAGTCCCCCTCCAAGGAAGAACAGGTATCCGGTGGTAGACCTGCCGTTGTCTGGGTTGGCTCCAAATGACGAGTCAGTGAAGCACGAGAGTCTGAACTGCCCCTTCTTGTACACGATCGGCAGGTCCGGCGTTCCGCCTAGGTACCATAGTACGTGCTTGGCTGCAGCCATGTGGACCTGTGCTGGGTTTGCGCATGCCCGTGTCAGTTGGTGCACTGCATATGACAGATCGTAGCGGGAGCATTGGGCAAGGTACAGGAGACTCCCGGTGATGGTTTGGAATCTCTGCTTGTCCTCGGGTCCGAGCAGTTGGTCTTGTGGCTGCTCGGTTGATAGTTCTGCTCCATACCCGGGGGTGCTGACCGGGTTTGCCTGTTCCATTCCATATCGCTGTAGGATATCTCTCGCGTAGGGTCCTTGCGATATGGCTAGTGTGCCATGTTCGTAGTCCCGCTGCACTTCGATGCCGATTACAAGCTTGACCTCTCCCATGTCTATCATATCGAAGCTGTCCATGAGGTCCTTCTTTTTCCTGCTTACGATCTCCTTGTTTCCGCCCGTGATGAGGATGTCATCGACGTAGATCGCGAGGATTGTGAGTTCGTCCCCGCTTACGAAGATGTAGACACAGGGGTCAGAGTGAGTGCGCTGCCAGCCGAAGATGATGAGTCTGTTATTGATGTGGTCGGTCCACAGTGACGGGGACTGTGACAGGTCGTACAGACTTTTCTCCATTTTGTTGACCATAATTTCACCTGTCGTAGGGTCCCTGNTGTGGTCGGTCCACAGTGACGGGGACTGTGACAGGTCGTACAGACTTTTCTCCATTTTGTTGACCATCATTTCACCTGTCGTAGGGTCCCTCTCCTCGTCGCCTGGCGCCGGCCTGACGTAGACGTCTCTGTCGGTGTACGCGTTCAGGAATGCAGCTACCACGTCCAATTGGTATACCTCCCATCCGTGTTCGCAAGCGATGGCGAATAGTATGCGAATGCTACCCAATCGGGTGACTGGAGCGTACTTCCTTACGTAGTGTCGTCCTGCCAGTTGGCGGTGTCCCCCGGCGACTAACCGGGCCTTGAAGCGGCTGTCGGCCTTGATCTTGAACACGAAGCGTGTGCCGAAGATGTTCTCATCCTTCGGTACCAGGCTGATGCGTACTTTCTTAAAGACTTGTGCTTAGCGATATTACCCATCTCGGTGTTGATAGCGTTCTTCCACTGCTCTTGTTGTGGTGAGTTCATGGCTTCGGTGTACGTTCTCGGAGTTTTGATCTCCTGGTATGTCTCCCCCAAGAACCCTTTGCTCGAGGTGCCTGTGGCGCAAGCTTACGCCCGGATTTCGGCGAAGGGGTCTTCATCCAGGTGAGCAAAATTTGCCGCGTCAGTAGAGCCTGTTGACCCCTGCTGACCGAGTACTCGCTTTGCGGCAATTTTCTCGCCAATGTCTCAACTGCGGGGAGGCAGGGCACAGCCTAAAAACTTTTCTAGTATTCTTTTACCAAGTACACCGGCCGCTTAAACCCGGCCATTGGTTCGCATGCTCATAGCGTTCAGGTCTTGCAACGTTGGCAAAACCGCATGAAGTGTCACCCCCCGCTTGTCCACAATCGAAGCGGCCCAGGTAAGAGCAGCGGCCATACAGAGGACGAAGGGAGCCCCTCTGGGAACTGTACCTCGAACACACACACCCCACCTCCGGCGCCGGCCGCAGGCGCCGCTGCGGCCCCGTCGCCCACCGCTGTCTGTCTATGGAACCCCGCACGCCCGGAGTTCTGGAACCTCGCTCTCGCGGGGTAACTGACACGCCGGTGACGGCTTTTTGCACACATCGCCGTCGTAAGTACCGGTTGTGCGCTGCACGACTTGTTCCCAAGACGTTCGTATCGAACGGACGTCTTCGAGTTCGCCAATGTTCTTTTCCCAACCTTTATTTCTCAGATGTCGCTCCACGCCTCATCACAGCCTGTTTCGGGTGGCTGTCGTGACACGTCAGCGCCGAATACAGCATTGTGGCGTACGCGAGGGGGCGACAAGATTCGCGTGTCTCACGGACGCTCGCCGCGATGTCTACGCCCCCTGTAGGCACGGCTTCCGCGTCTCCCACCGATTCGGCGGGTCCGGATGGTCTCGTCAACCACGTTGGAGCTCAGGGACCCTCGGGACAGCCTCAAGCCCGCCGCGGTGGCTTGGGTATGCTCGTACCTATTTGATATACTCGTAGCATAGTATGATGGTTGAGATGTTATGTACGTACGTACGAATATTGCAGTGATGAGATGCGGAGGAACAGGAACTTTCTACATATTTTTCTTGGTTGTGAGAGGCTTTTGGTGAGGATTCAGAGAGATTCGTTGTGTGAGAAAGCATGAAGGCGTGACTCGATACCGTGATGGTTTGACGAGCACGAGCACGCCCCCGATTAATACAACACACGGATACAACACGACAACACGGATACAACACGCTTTTCCACACGTCTGTACGACTTTACCTACCCCTACGGCCCTTCATGGCCGAACTGCTCTACACTCCCATCGCACACAACTGAGCCACCCGAATCATCAATCACGCTAGCG